CAAAAAAAAAAAAAAAAAAAACTCCCAAAAAGAAAAAAAACAACAGCAGCAGCACCCGTGCTCGCACGAAAAAAAGAAAAGTGTACATATATCCTTGCACATTGTTTATTAACTGTGATTGGTAAACCAGATCTGCAGGCAGGACAAAAGTTTCAGTTTCGTTCTGCTGTGAGTTTGTGTCATCTGGCATTAAACAACTAGTATCTTACAATGCATCTGAGACGTTGACGGTGGTATCTGATCCTCCCTTGGCTCTTGGGATACCCATAACATGGGTTTTGCCACCTTTCTACACTTCATCAGATCGCTTGCCCAGAGTCTCAAATATGCACATCCACTCCAATGACGGAAAGGGTACCGGAACTATTACTTATTCTGTGCTGAAGTCACGGGGAAAGAGAGAGCTCAGAAAGCAGGATGCCATTGTTATTGATGGAAGTAAAATCAGAACAAGGGAAAGCAATGAACTTGCTTGTATCCAGGCAGAGGACCAGATAACTGGTAGAACAGAAATAGCTTCATGTGTAAGAATTGCTGAGGTCAGTTATCCACCACACATATACGAGGACTAATGTCATAGTAAATCCTTCATTCTACTAGTATAAATACAATCTTGAGTTTTCAAATGAGCTTCTTTCATAGTACCATCTTTCCTAATTGGCGGTCATGGTCTGCAAAAATTCTTCATTTTATAACTTTCTAGGTGCTAATCAAAATTTCTCCCTCGCTGTCTCATGTAGTTCTACCCATATAAGTGATCAGAATAATGTCATTGTTCTTTTGCAGTTCTTAGCTTTATTTTTTTGGTCTCTGTGTTGATGGGGGAACAGATTCTGATTGAATTTGAAATTGAAAACGCCGTTGGAAAATGGATTGGGTGATCATCGGAAGATGAATAAACAGTGCCGGGCGAACATTAACGTGTGAATAGTATCGATGAAGAGTAGTTTCTTTTAAAAAAGAAATCTAATATTAAAAAAGCAAATAAATTAGGATAGACCGGATTCACTCACAGCATCTAACCTATGAATAAATGGCACATTGACGAATCACTAAAATTCTCAAATAATCATAATTTTATTTATCAATCAATGTCCTTTCCTCATGAAGGATACAACTTATTTATAGAATAAACTTAATATTATCTTATCAAATAAAACTTAACAAAAATCAACTAAATCTTATCTAATAAAACTGATAATATTATCTGAACTAAATATCTAATAGAAACATCTAAGAAGATAAACTCTCACTGCAAATTTCTATCAACTAAAATAAAATCTCCTAAATAAAATCCAAACTAAATTACCAAATAAAATCAATTCAATCTTAACTTGTCCTGCATCATGCATCTTTGAATTTTTTTAAAGATTATCCTTAATTTAGTTATACAATTACTGCTCCTACTTTGAAAACAAACTTGTAATGTTCAAATATCTTGGTTGAAAAATTTGTCGATGTCCACTTGCTATTTTTTATTTTGCTAACATGTCACTGCGCATACCTTTTAAACGCATCGCAGAAATTTCCATGATTTGACCTCAATAGGTGAATCCCTCCTAGAACTTTAAAGTGGTTTCTTGTGAAAATGATGCATGTCTATTTTTTTTTTGTTCAGCATCTTCAACTTCCCTCAGACTCTTGAGTATGCGATCCTCATGTGTGATGTTAGTTCTCATGTGATCCTGTTCTCATTTTTCTCTTTAACCAAACATGTTATTCTTCTCACCGGTAGCCTACATCTTAATTTTCTTGAGCGTGGAAGATGACAATTGATATGGCTTCATGGCTAAATCAGGCATGTGTAATTTTGTATTAGTGTACTCGTTTTAATTAACTAACTTGAGGACTAAATCAGGAGTAGATTGCATGTCTTGTTTGATTTAGAGCCAGGTTGCTCTTATACTATATTGAAATCCCTTTTAACTTCTGCAAAACTCTGAAGTATTATGGCCAAGAGTATTATGTTTCCCTTCTATTTCTCATCTGAGTGTGATATGATAATGATATTCCTTTGGAGCTGTGATAGTTTATTTGTACTTAGTTACCTTGTAATGTTGGACATTTCTATTTTGGAGCTGTGTTAATTTCACTTGCAATAATATATTTACAGAAATTTCTTTTTTCTTTTTTTAACATCAGGTGGCTCAACTAAGGGCAAGCACGACAGGTTCTACATTCCATGTTGCGTACCTTGCAACAGATGCTAAAATGGAATTGGCAATTAACTACTGCGATGATTTAGGTACCTTCTGAACCCGGAAACTGATTTAAGGAACTGTTTCATTTCGTCTGGGCTTAATCTTGATTGCCTTGTATTGATTAGGATATTACTTCTCGGAAGCACACGGCGTGGTTCCATTAGACGTTGAGACTAATTATCCTGATGTTGTGTTCGTTCAAGGGGCAAGTGATGCAAATAAGACAAATGGTGGCATTGGAAATATTTTTCTTAAGGTTAGGCTGCATTTTGCTATTAGAGTTTTGTTTAGGTATTTTTTTCTTGGCAACAACAGGGAAGTTGGATCTATTGTCTATGCAAAGTCCTGATCGCATATTGTTTCTTCTAGCATTTATTCTTTATCTGACAACTCTCTCTCTCTCTCTCTCTCTCTCTCTCTCTCTCTCGCTCTCCTTTAAATGTTGCAGGCTAGAAATCCAGGGCGAGCTCTTGTGATGGTAACGATGAAATATAAGCCTGAGAAAGCTGACTTCATCCTGGTATTGTTTGTTTGTGTCTTTTATTTATAGCTTTTATTTAGCTGCTGGGCAGGTAGTGCTGTAGCAGCAAAGAAAATGTCTTTCAGTTATTCAAGGTAATTAATAGAGAACTATGGTTTAAAGAGGTCTTGGTTACTGTAGTAATTTAGTTGAAAAGCAGAAGGTGAAGTTGCAAAATTACAATTTAGCCAGCTTTCTGCGGTGTGAATTAATCCTTTTTGCTTAATTCATATTATTCTACTGTGGCTTAGATGTGATCTTTTGCATTTCTGGAAAGAATCTTATCTGACTTTTGACCAGCTTATTGTCTTATTCCTTTCCAAGGTATCAGTTGGTGCCCAGTTGTATCCTCAAAACCCTGTCATTCATGTTGGACATAGACTTAATTTTACTGTAATTGGAGATGGTAAGCCTCCTCTTTATATGTTTTTGGCATATCTGCTTTTCTTTATATGTTCTGGGTTATATGTGTTTGTCATAAGTCTGGGGACTACACATTTAAAATGCACTCCTTGAAATGAAAATATCAAGATCTGTGTAGTAGTTGGCAAATTCATTGTACAATTGGTCTTTGAGCTTCCCATAAAACTTTCTTAAATACAATAGCGCAAGTGTTTTATTGTCAATTATTGTTAGTATTTGAAACTCCTTGGAAGGTATTTAAGCATGCACCGAGTGAATTGATATCTGTTCTGTTGCTAATCTTAACCTTTCTTGGTAGGTATACATGGTCCTCGATCAGGTCAGTGGTCAAGTAGCAATGGAAGTGTTCTGTCTGTAAATAAGATGTCTGGTGAAGCTCACGCACATGGTGAAGGTTTAGTTAAATGTATGTAATTGGCATTTTTTTGTCTTTTGTTTATATTGCGGATTGAACTGGCCACTGTAGGCCAGTTTTTAACTTCAAATTATCTCATGTTAGCAAGTTTTTTCTTCGGCAGTGACGTTCAGAGATTCCAATTTAAAGCTGCAGACTACTGTTTCTGTGCTAAAAGCTGATCAGATGTTAGTTGATTCTCCTGCAGAGACATTAACTAACGTCCCATCTCCAGCTGAAGGTTACAAGTTTCCTGTTAAGTTTAGGTGTGTTTGGTAACCATTACTTCCTTCATTTTGTGGAATCTGTAGAGTTTTCTAATCCTCTTCTTTTCAAGCACCTGAATTAATCAACCAAAAGGATCTACTCACATAAATCTTTTTCATATGTCTCAATTAAATTATCTGTTAATGCAGTAAGAATAGTCTTATCTTAGTTGAGAAGAGTAACTAGGAAGACTTGTGGAGTGTTAGGTCCTGTAGACCAGCAAAGGTAGACAACTTTCTGAACAAATATTGGTAGTACATACTTTGAACCTAGTACCAGCAAAGGAAGACAACTTTCTAAACCATTTTGGCTTTTGAATTGTTTGTTATAAAACAATAATCATAATAGTAGTGTATGGCAATAACAATAAAAGATCAAGCTTTACTCGCAATATTTTGACGATATTTACATGAATCTTTTTATGTATGTAAATGGCCATTCAGTTCCATTAAGGGTAACCTTCTGCTGTAGTGACAATGAATTATATTCTGTAGGATTCATTTCATAGAGATTCCTAATTTTATTCTGATGGTTGCTTACATAACTCAATACTGAGACTTGACATTTATAGAGATCCCTAATTCTATAGGAGCCGAACCTGTTTCGTATCTGGAGCCAACACCGAAACTTTAGTGGACGCTCCTTGTATATTTGCATACACTTAGTCAATTGTGTACTCATTTATATAATTCATGTTGTACTCAGTTATATAATTCATGTTTTAATTTAAAACACTCGTCATATACTTCTTGGACATGTATCCTACCCTTCACATACAATTCTTGAAGTTGGCTTGGACATAAGTAGGGTTGTTGCGGCCCACATGTAGTTTAAAACTATTATATTATAAAGGGTTTTTTGAATATCAAGTTAAATAACGAGCAATTTTGTAATTTATAGATCTTATTGTAAAAGGAACATATAAATGTTATAGGAATTTTATTTCATAGAACATGAAATGAAAAAGTAATATAGTTAAATGTAGAACATTATATATATACATCTATGTGTAGCCATGTCCCCGTGCTCTACCTTTTACAACTTTTCTGTATCCGACACCCGTACCCATGTATCTTAGCTGTCATGCAATGTGCTTCTAAATATTTTGATACATTACCCAGACTACTGACATGATCATGATAAGAACAATGCAGTTTGCAAATATTTATTTTAAACTAGAGATTTGATCACTGTTTTATAGATGAACTTTCCTGTTCAGAGAAATCAAATGGCTTATTTTTCTGTAATTTCTGTATAGGAGAGCTAGAGGTATCTAGGATTCTAGGTTCAACCTGTTTTCCCGTTTCCTCGTATTTCGATTGCTGAAATTGTTGTGTTTGATCAGGAGCAAAACGAAGTTTTTATTCCTTAAGTTCCCCCAAAATCACGTTGGGTCTGTAAGATATATGCTGATGAAACGTATTTTTTTGAAAGTTAATTCTTTATGGTTCGTGGTTAAGATAAAAATACCAAGAATACTTGCTAAACATCCTAAGTGTATGGCTGAAACAGTTTCCCTTTATTTTTGGTTGGTTGCAGAAATGACCCCTATGGAAAGTTTGAAGCTACTGGAAAGGCTGTTGAAGTCGTATATGATTGCAGGGTTGACCCACCTTATGTCGGGTATGGCTTCTTCATTTATAGTGTTGTTCTCTTTTTTTTTTCTTTTTCTTTTTTTCTTTTTGTTCGGGGCGGGGTAGTTCTATCAAACCTTGTTTCACTAATTTTGTTCCTTGTGTATCTTAGGTATGCAAAGCCATGGAGGGATCATGGGACTGGTAATTCATATTGTCTCTTCTTCCCCTACTCACCAAAACATTTGCTGAGTTCCCTGTCCAAGTCAAAGGCTGCAATATCTGAACAATATGACAGAAATGATGGGTTTCTGTACGTTTCGGTCATAGCCTCATTGAGAGAAGCACCTCAAGTTGAGGGAGCTGCCCATGCACTTTTTGTTGGAGGATTCTCTATTGAGGGAGCAGGAAAGGTAGTTTAGAAAAGCTTTCAATTTGACACCTGCCTACAAAGAGAATCAAACGTGTTATTTATTTATTTATTAAACTACTGGCATTTGGTTCATGCAGTTAAATTTGACACCAAGCTTGAACAAAAGCCTGATAAGAGTTATAGGCAACACAGGTAGCAAGTGTGTTAATATTTTTTGCATTTACAATTGCAATATTATTAATGGTATTGTTAAACATCTTCTGTTGTAATTATATCTTCTATTTTAGATGTCGAGATTTATTGGAATGCGAAAGATCTGCTGCTGGTTACCCCTTTCGGAACAGATGGATTTGGCATTGGTGGGGTTAGAGAATACAAGGTGATTTATTGGATCTCAAGGCAACAACCAAAAATGTGTACTTGTAAATTTCTTAATGCTTACTTTTTCTGTCCATACTTCAGGTTGAAGTGCTGAAAGATCAGAAAATCACAGATACGCTAACAATAGTGCTTCCTACAACAGGTACCAAGTCTGGTTCTTTATTTTCTATGCTTCATGTTACACAAAACAATGAAGAAAACATTTAACATCCATATTCTAGAATTTCTTGCGTTTTTTTTTGTGAGACTGTGAGAGTGCCTAAAGATGCATGAAATTAATCTACTGTAAAATATTTGTCTTTGTTCCTTCTGAACTTTCCATTGGTGAGGAGAATTTAGGAGGTCATTTGATTTCATGGCGCCATAATATAAAATTCAACCAGCACAAAAGTAGTCTCCCTGCCTGCCATCTGGCTTAACAGGCTTTGTGCGAAGCCACTCTTTTTCATAGCTTAACTTGCCAGAAATTTCGCATCAAGTAATACATTGAAAAAAATCATTTTGACATCCAATCATTAAAAATAACTGTCAAATATCTGTGGAGAGTTCCTAATATGGAACCCATTCCTCTGCCAACTCCCATTTCCAGTGGGAAAACGGTTGGACGGTCATGGTACTAAATGATAGGGGTCTGATGATCGTATGTAACGACGTTTGAACAAGTTTTGAAGTCAAAACTTACATTTAGCAGACTTGATCATGGAGGCTTGTGATTCTTTAGTGAATGTCTAGAAGTTATGTAGATGTATCAAAGCCTGATTTATATCTCCATCCACTTACTGATTTCTACGAGTCATGATGTCCTTCTGATAATGGCTAGTTATGAGTATTTGTCTATTTGATTGGATTATTTTGGCTGGATCGGTTGAGTTTTGGACAGAGGCCGTTGACCATCAGGTTTGATTGAGTTCTATCATTCTGTTTAACTAGCAACATTTATTGCAGTAAGATTAGTTGTAATCAGGTTTCAGTTTCGAATGATAAGGTCAGACTACCATTGCGGCTTCGTGTGACATATCTGTAAACTCCGCTCTCTCTTAAGGACACTAGTTTTCTCATGATTGCTGATTGGCATCAGAATTATTTTTTTTCTTTTCCTTTTTTGGTTTAATGGCAGTTGCACCTCCTTACTATGAGGGTATAGTCCCTTATACCCTTAAACTATTTTATTATCAGGTAGATATTATTTCCCCAAATTAGGTTGAGATGTCAGGTGAGAATTACATGACAACAAATTACCTTTTGTCTTCAGATTAACTGAAAAAGAAAAAGGACTCTGTGTCTATAATGAGGGCAAAAAATAATGTGGTCTAAATTAAGCAGTTATAAGTGGCTAAATCTCACAGTATAGGGAGTGCATCTCCGATTAAACTTCCCATTCTCCCTTTTTCCGTATGTTCTATGTGCAACCAAAATTAAAGAGGACTTTAATAATTGTTCAATTATGCAAGAGAACAGAAAACCCCTAGTAAGCTTCCAAGTGGTTTAATGCAGGTCAGCAAATGGAAGTAGATGTCAACTTCGATCCTGATGGGGAAGGAGGAAGCAGAAAACCCGCAGCAGAGTCGAGTACTTTTATGTGGGGTTTAATTATCACGTGTTTAGTAGGGCTAATAGCCACAGTCCTCAGCTTCATGGGATTGCTCGAGAGAAGAAGTCGAAGAACTTACACGCCACCCACAGTTGCAGCAGGCTCTCCAATAGGCCGACGTGACCAAAGCACTGCCACTCCTACCGCTGCTACTGGTAGCGTTCATTCATCGCCTCATACGCCCAATAGCCCTTTCGTCGATTATGTGAGAAGAACAATAGATGAGACTCCGTATTATAGGCGGACTGGGAGAAGGCGGTTTGATCCGCAGTATACTTACTAGATTACGTAGTTTATTTGAAGGGAAATGCTTGTCGTCCGTTTTGTAGCAGGTTCATGTATATGTGGAACTGGGGCAGATGAATTTTTGTAGAGACAATTCCATTGTGTTGAGGGGGGGTGTGATTGATGGGCGACATAATAGGAGCAGCATGTTGGCCCACCTTCAATGTAATTCGAAAACACTTGCACATTAGTTGTGACTGCATTTTATACTGTAATTGCCAAACCTAACTGTCCAAGTTATGAAAGAAACACAGCATGAGCACTAAAGATGTCTCGAGGGCCAAAAGACGGTTTGTAATTTTCCATCCAAATTTATAGACCCAGCCTGCTATAAGACGGATGTGCCCTTTTTTCTTTCTTATTTTTTTGACTGTAAATTAAAGAGAGAAAATGAGAGAAATTAGCGAAAAAAATAAAAAAGAATTCCATTCCTTGACAAATTTTCTCTTAAAATGAAGAATTAAATAGTTCAGTATCAATCATAGTCAAATGTAAATGGGGTTCTTTAACAAGTTCAACATGACTGAAATAGTACAGTAAGAATGAACCTTACAAGTTTAGATCAACCGATCCTTCTCTCTAATTTTTGGAGGCATCCGAACATGAGCGTGCCTTGTCAAAAAAAGTTTTAAAAAATTGTGATCAATCTCTCTTCGAGTACCTTTAACTGTTCCACATAAATAAAACTTATGGAACAGAAAACATGAAGCGATAAGTGCTCAAGCCTTGAGGATCATGCCAAGGCATCAACTTGTCGATTGGCCAGTCGGGCATACAAGCCACTCTTTCTGATGAGCTCTGCATGATCTCCCATCTGCATGCAAGACAACAGTAGTGAATCACAAGGTTTCCAGTAAATTTTGAAGAATGTAATTTCTTTTCAGCAATCTTTGACATCATTTTTCCTTGAGCTGTATAAATATTCAAGTGCATCCTATAAAGATTTGCAGTAGATACAGAAACGAATCCGCTTTCAGTTTTTAAATCGCTGAACAAACTAACTCGGATGAATTTCCTCGCATATCATTCACTCGCTAAGATGAGCATGACATTCACTCACCAAAAAACAAGGACCTACCTCCACAATTCTATCTTAGCATGATATTCACTCACCAAAAAACAAGGACCTACCTCCACAATTCTCCCGCTATCCATTACAATTATTCTGTCAGCAGCTTGTATAGTAGATAACCTGCACAAAACAACAGGACTTAAGAGGAGAATAACCAGCAACATGGTTAATATTTTAGCATAAAAGCACAAAATTGGAGTTGAATGTGAAGTACGATCGATTGATGACAAAAAGCTTATAAAAAAGAAACTTATGTGGATAATGCAAAATTCCTAGCATGTCGATAATTATGAGTCAGCTAACAGGTTGCTGGACCTAGCAATATTATTTTGGTCAAGGAGTTCAAGCTCATGAAACCAAGGATAAAGAATGAATTCATCATTACAAAAGACGAAATATGAAGATATGCAATGAGGATTACCTATGCGCAATCACAATCACACTGCTCTTTGCCTTGGCGTTGCGAAGGATTCCCTTAACAAATATAAAAGAATAACATAGTAAATTACATTCTGATGCAGGCTGAAATTCATTCTGTAGAACAAAACCTCTACCTTGATATAATGTTCACTCTCGGTATCAAGGGCGCTGGTGGCTTCATCTAGGAGCAAAATGGTAGGATCTCTAAGAATAGCTCTTGCAATGGCAATCCGCTGTTTTTGTCCGCCACTAAGAAGAGAATTGTCCACAAGGGTTTCATATCCATTGGGAAGAGACATTATAAACTCATGTGCATATGCTTGCTTTGCAGCCCATTCCACTTCCTCATGACTCACTTCCCTCGCACATCCATACTTTATATTTGAAGCAACATCCATACGGAAAAGGCGGGGTTCCTGTTAAAACTTTAATATCAAGTAATGCATTCTAATAGCCAACAGGAAAACTAAAATAATTACATGTCAAAACCAAGAATGATTAGGGACCTGTCCAACAAAGCCAATTTTTTCCCTCAACCATTTGATGTCCAACTCTCCAAGAGGGACTCCATCGATTAATATCTGAAATAGGAAGCAGGTCCATCGATTAATATCTGAAATAGGAAGCAGGAGAAAACATTGCCAAGGGTCTGTTCAGAATATCTTCCACATGTTTACATTTTGCAAGGCAATTTTATAAAAGTACATCATGTGAAAGTATATCATAAATTTGCATTAATTGATGAGCTAAACTTGCATGTACTATAAGGTAGATATATTCTCTGGAAAACCTCTTTCCTGCCATAATTTCCTTATGAGGATTTGGCACAACATAGACATTAGCATCAAAGTGACCAGCAGTTGTAGATCTACTATATTTACACTGGCACCAAGACATCTGATCCTAGTTAAAAGGTGAGATATTATAATTATGCAATGATTAAAATGATGGTTCACTGTGAGCACTCGGTGAAATAAGTTTCTCTTGCCAAGGGATAATCACGTCAAAGTACTTAACAATCATTCAGGTACTCCTGGATAAGGGTATAGTCACTCTA